AAAATTAATTAACAGGCCAAAGTGAGTGAGTCTGCGGCTAGCGAGCATTAGCTTCCTGGACGTATTACAGTCAAAATTATAAATAGCAGTGGATGAATGGTGAAGAGTTGCGAACTAAACGCAGTTTACATAGTTTAGAAATTGGGAGCAACACGTACCTGGGGCGTTAGGGTTCGTTATCGTGTGATTAATGTAACATACGGATTAGTGCTAACAAGCTAGCTACTTTACGAGTGCAAAACTGGTGTTGACATGTCTCCGCTGACAAATGAAGGCAGTGTAATATGAAGGTGGTACTTTTCCAAATACAGCATACACACACAAAAGTTAGCACATCTGCTCAGCAAAAGTCTGTTTATGTCACTCAGCCCCAAAGCAGCTCCTGTCACAGCCCCGAATTCAGCTCTTCTCATCTGCCGATCATTTTGCAGCAGCAACATGTAGTTACAGTTTAAATGAATTGTGTAGTCTCTGTGTGTACACTTGACCACTCAAGTAGTCACACATGTCAGATCGCCTGTGATGAGTACAAATAAGAAGCTATCCTGCCAGTGTCTGACATGGACATCATTCTGACCACCACAGACAGTCCACACGTTGAATCTTCTGCGGTCTAATAAAAGAAGCTGGTGAAAGCTGAGTGAATGATTCTCTCCTTTTATGTGACTTGATTTTGGCCTGTCCTCATTGATGTTTGGTGTGAACACATTCAACAGTTTAAGCAAACATGCCCTGCCTTGTTAATGTTTGCGAAGGCCTTTGTATTAGCTGAACAATTGCTTTTAGATTTAGTTTGTATTTATTTGTATAAGGCAGCAATTTCATGACATTGTTAACCAACAGAAATGGGCAATGGCCCTCACATCCTTTTAGATCAATAAGTATGGAATGTGTTCCTAACAGACATATTTCTTGATCTTCTAGGATACACAGAATTCATCATGGTGAAAATTTTTATTGGCAACCTTGCCTGCAATGCCACAGCAGAGGAGCTACGGGAACTCTTCGAGAAGTACGGCAAAGTCACAGAATGTGACACTGTCAAAAACTACGGCTTTGTACACATGAGCAACATGAGCGAGGCAGAGGAGGCCATCAAAACCTCCACCAGCACCAGCTGCACGGCTGGCGCATGAATGTGGAAATGAGCAAAGGGAGGCCTAAGTCCACCACCAAACTGCATGTCAGCAACCTCGGGGAAGAGGTCACTAGTGACGTTTTGAGGGCCAAGTTTGAAGAGTTTGGCCCAGTGGTGGAGTGTGACATTGTTAAGGACTATGCCTTTGTTCACATGGAGCGAGTCGAAGATGCAATGGAAGCCATCAGTAAGCTGGACAACACAGCCTACAAAGGTGAACGCTCGGGCAGGGGAGTGCAAGTTGTCTTCTCTGTACATGCGATTTTGGATTCTATTTTGCCGCCGTAGGGATAAGTAAAGTCCTCTTGCTGATGTATTTCCACAGAGTATAGATAACCGTTGCTTTAACTGACGAGTTAACTAAAAATAATCACAAGTTTGGAAGGTCTTTTTGTAAAACCAGTGGCAGTGTACTTGATGAATGGGCACTGCACTGTCATTCAGTCACCTGCACGTTTTTTCGCTTTTCTCAGTCATTGTCGCTTTAACGTGTTTAATGGTCGTTAAGAAGCTTTCCGTGTCAGAGTCCCCACGGTCTCATGCGTGTCTTCTCTTTCCTTACAAGGCAAGCTGATGAGCGTACAGCTATCCACCAGTCGGCTTCGCACTGCCCCGGGAATGGGAAATCATACGGGCTGCTTTGTCTGCGGGAAACACGGCCACTGGTCGAAAGACTGTCCAGTCGCTCGGAACGGTAGCCACAGTGACGGCATGAGAGGCCGCGGCGCCCAGGCCCCGCCACACGGTCTCCCAAGTTATGGCAGCTACGGGATGGCCTCACCTGCAGCAGCTGATTACATGAGTGGCTCTGCATATAGTCCGGCTAGTTACGTAGGTGGGTTGCCTCCACCTCTTCCCCACAGGCTTAGCGGCTACGCCTCTGAGCCAGGGGATCGGTACAGCAGCAGAGCACCAGGCTCCTATGCTGATAGGTCACCAGCCTTTGATCGTGACCATTTCTATAGCAGCGTCAACTATTATGAGAAGTACAGAGCTCATCCTTTTGGCTCAAGCTATTTTGAGGATCGGCGCATGTCCTACCTTCCCCCTCCCCCACCTTCCTCCATCTCAAAGCTCTCATCCAGTGTAGATCCCTTTGAGCGTCAGGCCCTGCCTCCGCTCAAGCGCCTGCCGCATGCTACACAGGTGAGCACACCCCGACCAGACGAGCAGCTGTCCCATCGGCTGGCTTTGCCTATGAGCGAACACAACTGTCGCCTGCCTCTGCCTCCAGGAGCTCATACACAGCTGCACGACCCAAGGGTCATTATGCATCACGTTATGCGCCTTACTAAAGCCAGGTGAGCACCACAGTCCATAACGTTACTTTAAGACATTAGCAGTCAGCGGGCACTGACGCGGTTCTGTGTTTGTCTGAACTTGGACTGTTTTTAACGTTCTGAATCTTTTAAAGTTGTGGTAAGTGTCAGCACTGTTTCTCAGGAATGCTGTGCTCTCTTTCTAGGTCTGTCTGTGAACTGCAAGACTTTTCCTTTGCCGTCACTTCAAGTGTGATTCCTTCAGTCTGCGTTGATGTACGGCAAAGAGACTCTGTTTGGAAAATGGTGTCCGTATCTTCTAGGCATCTGAGATGCCAGTGGCCTGCAGACGACTCGTCCTTTTCAGCCATGTTCCCCTAGCTTGTTTTCTGAAGGGGCGATTAGCAAATGTCACACTTTGACATTTTTCTTACTCTGCAGGTTTTCAGCTCGGGTTTTAGCCAAGTCTTTCTTTCTTTACATGTCTCTCATCATTTGTTGCAAATTGTTCAAATCTGCAAATAATAATTTTTGGTCTTTCTTTGTCATTTAGACATATTCTTGTTCAGTTAATACATGTTTTGTTTTTTAAGATTGCATGAAGCATACCTCATTCCACATAATGGCATAGGTTACCTGTTGCACAGAAGAATTGGATTTTGCGCTTTCACACATTTGACATGTGTGTCAGTAAAACGAATTTGGATAAAGAGAAAAAAGTGTTACAAATGATCATCATTGCTGCAGCATCATTGCTGCAGCATCATTGCTGCAGCATCATTGCTGCAGCATCATTGCTGCAGCGGGCGGTAACTTTCAATGTGTATTTTATAACAGGTAAAGCCAGACGTGTGGAATCGAATGGTGCAGCGTTTCCCTCTGTAGTGGATTAAAAGGCTAAAGGCAGCAGCAGGGAAATGGATGTGTGTGCAGTCTAGCGTTCAGTTAGCATTTACAGAGGGATACTTTGAGTTTAAACCAAAGTTAAGCCTGGAGATCATAAACATTCCAGCTTTTTTCTCATTTAAATGTGTCTGTGGGTTCTGCTATTTGTTCATTTTCTAATAATTGAGGTGTCTGCTGGGCTAAAATTCTTCAACTAAGTGACACCAAAGTGAGACTGCTAGCTGATATGGATTGTGCAACTGACAAACGGTTTTCTTCCCGATGATAGTGGTGCTGACTGCCTGTAGCCAACAACAGAAACGAGCCACGGTGTGTGAGATCTCTATTGTATCCATGTAACACTGAGTAGGAACAAGTCTGTGGGGGGACGGAGCAGAGCTGTAGAAGTTGTGAGGCACGTCCTGTGTACTGTTGAAGGTGCCTTTCCTTGTTTTGCTTATGAGTGGATTTGAAGTTTGTATTTTTCATACTAGCTGAAAAAATATTAATATACCTTTTAAAAAAAATCTGAAGTTAATGATTTTTAATAAAGCCAAAATTATTTTGGTCATGCTCGTTTCAGTTTTTTACTTGAGTATGATGAATGCAGTGGTGTGGCTTTTGGTATTTTGTTCTAAAAATGCTCCAAGTATGAATATCAGAAAATAAAATCCAGTTATTTGTCCAAATAGGGGCTCAAGGTTAATGTTCAAGACGATGTCTTGTAAAAAAGAAAGTCTCCATGAAAGGCCATTCTTCACCTATTTAAAATCTATATTTCTTTGAAATTCTGTTTTTTGTTTGTTTGTTTGTTTAAAGCTCTTCATTGATGTAGAGCCACAGTTGAATTAAACTTTTCAGTGCAGATTTTAGGGAGAAAAAACACTAACCCCTGTCTCTTCATTGTGTTAAGATTCCATTTAAATCTTAACAATTCCATTCCATTTAAAAGAGAGAGAAGTCACCGGGACAAGCCAGGAGAAATAAAAATTATTTTTGACAAACCAAAACAGCCTTATGTGCTGAGCCACAGTTTGGGTCATGTGTGTTTTATTCTGCTGCGGATGGTAGAGTATACAGGACGATCCACTGTGCCCAAACTGGGATGGATCAGAACGAAATTGCCCCCTCTTTCGCTACGTTGTTATCAATAAGGTTTTCATATCAGAACATATTGGACGAAACGCATTGACACTAATCTGTATGTGGTAGTCCAGTTAACTTGAAAACTTTGCTCCGCGAACCGAGATGGGACCTCCAAACTCCAGGCTACAGATCCAGCTTTTAGTGGGCTGTGTGTCTCCGCATGAACGCTTTCAAAGACCCAATGATGTGATCCAGCGACTGTATGAAAGAACCTTTTTCACTTTTTATCAGCGTGATTAGGTGCTAATCTTCCAAAGCAAGTCGGATTTCTTAAATGTCACTGTTCAAGTACTGATAATAATGTTTAGGAAAAAACTATTTTACACGTAGTCACGAAGTATATCCTCCATCTTGCCTATTCTCCTGCCTTGGTTTCCTTTGCTCTGCATGTGGAGGCGCCATGGCTTAGCTTTCGGTGCTAGCTAGTCCCTCCCAAAAAGCGCTAGCGGGGTTAGCTGTATGTATTTGCCTGCCAACGCGCTAGCCGCCATTTCATTCTCCGAGGGAGGAGACGAGGAGTGCGACTTTTAACAGGTATGAATTGTATTACCCCGTAATTGCGAGGAACAAAAATCGGTTGCGAAAGTGACCCAGTGCACCACAGTTCCAGCTGCTCCAGAAGTGTTTGCTGTAAAAGAGATCTGCTAATCCAATATCCAAGCTACAGCCTCGCGACTCGTGTAGTGAAGGCCGCAGCCTGAATGTTGTGACGTTACGTAAGAGTAACCAAAGCAGGCATAGTATAGTGCGGTAAGTTTAAGTGTGTAAGTGTTTTGTCAGGTTTTGATGCACATTGTAATCAGATAAGCTGCGGTGATGTTATTTAGCGGTGCCGCTAACGACTTTTTTCGGCTGCGTGCTCAGTGTCTGGTTAAGCACCGCGCGGGCACTGCTGTGCTTGCTAATGGCTCGTTCGCGCGTTTCCTTTGGACTCCGCACACCACGCTGGTTCTTTGTAAACTAAACAGCCGATAGAAATGGCTCCGCTGAATCCAGCTTTGTCTGTTGGTCAGCTCCCTCGTCAAACTTTAATTGTTGCGCTTAAACTTTTGCCCAAAGAGCGCGTCCATTACGTTATTCTCCAGTTGACGTTCAAGGCCCATATGGTGACTCGTTAAAGCTGAGTGGGTTATCTTTAATGAAATACTGTCAGAGTGCTGGCTTTGTTAGTATTGCTGCCACTCTATTCTGTGCGGACTGTACCAGTGTTGTTCGTGTTGTCCCCATGAGATTACGTGGAGACTTTCAATACAGTTAACTAGTAGGGGTCCTCACTCCTACATGCCCAGGAAGCCTTGTCAATGGAGAAAAGTCCATAAAGTTTGAGTAGTGATTGCTCAACAACACTGCTGGAAACTCATTATTGCAGAAGTTCACCTTATAACCTTGGAGTTGTGATTTGGCGCTATATTAATAAAATTGAACTGAATAGCATTTTGTTAAATGAACTGGTAAAAGTTTCAATTCAGTCATCGGAGTCATGATGCTACTAATGCTGAAGTTCCTCTCTTCCTTTAGTGACGTGGACCCTGCACAATGGTGAAAATATTCATAGGGAACTTGTCCCCAGACACCACATCAGATGAACTTCGCTCTCTCTTCTCTCAGTATGGCAAGATTGCAGAATGCTCAATTGTCAAGAACTTTGGCTTTGTGCACATGGATGACAAAACAGAGGCAGAGGAAGCCATCCGCAATCTCCACCAGTATGAGCTGAATGGCCAGCCTATGAACGTGGAATTAAGTCGTGGCAAGTCAAGGGGATCCACCAAACTGCACGTTGGCAACATTGCCTGTACCAACCAGGAGCTGAGGGCCAAGTTTGAAGAGTTTGGCGCTGTGTTGGAGTGTGACATAGTAAAAAACTATGCTTTTGTTCACATGGAGAGAATGGAGGATGCCATGGAAGCCATTAATCAGTTAGACAACACAGCTTTTAAAGGTGAACTCTTGGGCTGGGCTTGATGATTTAATTAAAGTCAGATTAAAGATGTAGTATCAATATTGTTGTTATGTTGATGGGTAAATTATTGCTCAAATGCAGGTGAGTAAAAAGAACTAAGGTAAGTTTTAATAGACAATTCCAACATCATTTTAAAGCTGGTATCCGTAATGTCTTTGGTAATATCCGCCTGTGTTGTGGACTTAAAGGGACACAGACTGGAATTTATGACTCACTCGTCAGGTAAACACCTGTTGTGTGGTTATTCCAAGTATTTGATTTGAAGTACATAGAGTGTACAAATCGGACCAAATGCATAGTCCCATTAAGGGCAGGATTAAAACGGACATGACGTAGTCCTGTTCGTAGAACGTGGTGTTTGACACGCATTTATTCGCAGGATCATAAATCTCGGGTTGCGCCGGTGAGATCCACGTCCGCACCACGGGTACAAGTTGAAATTGACGCTCACTGATCACATCGTATTAGTTACCTGTTGTGTTTTCGGTGGTTTAAGAAGCGTTTCAAGTTACGGATTTCAGCTTTAATAACCATATTTTTAGTGCTCAAATCATTAGGTATGTCTTCTTGCTACTGTTGGAATACAATGCAGCCTTTTAGCTGATTGATACAGGCAGGAAATATGAATGCAGGTATAAATCCTTATTGAGTCTTTTCTTTTTAAGGCAAACTGATGAGCGTGAAGCTTTCGACTAGCCGCCTGCGTACTGCGCCGGGAATGGGAGACAGATCGGGTTGTTATCGTTGCGGGCAGGAAGGCCACTGGTCCAAAGAATGCCCTCTTGACCAAAATGGCTACCACGGTTCAGAGCCAAAGTCTGATGGATACGATGCCTCGAGATTTGGCGGGCGGGGTCGCAGCAGGGGTTATCATCCGGACTTCAGTGGCGAACCAGATTACGGTGGCAGCTATGCTCCTGTGCACGGTTTTTCCCGAGGTTCCGGTCACAGCAGCAACATGGCAGGGTACAGAAGAGGTGCAGGCTATGAGGGTGCAATGAGGTATGGGCCACACCCGGGGTATGGTGTAAATGCTGCTGCAGAACATAGCATGGCTCAGATGTATGGCGGCGAGGCAGCATACAGGGGCAACGGCTCACTCTATGGCGCGTTCCCAGCCTACCCGGTGCGACGGTCGCCTTATGAGGAAAGAGATCCGTACGGGGTTGTGGACTACTACGAGAAGTACAGGGCCAATACTTACGGAGGCAGTTATTTCGAGGAACGCCGCGCTGTCCCCTTGCCTGCTCCAGCAGCGTCCTCCTCCACGGCTATAATGAGAGAGCGTCTGCCTCCCTCTAATGTCAACCCATACGAGCGCCCTCCCCTCCCTCCTCCACCAGCCCCAGTCTCTTCATACTACGCACGTGACCGGAGTCCGATTCGGAGAGTTGCTGCCGAAGCAGATGGATATACATATGAGCGTTCGCGCCTTTCTCCGGTGACCGCCCTCCCAAGAAGTTCTACCTATGAAAATCCGCGGGATCCCGGCGCGGAGCGGGCACGGTATACATACTAGTGCTTGTCCCATGCAGTCAGGGCAGAGCTGATTTACAGTAAGCAGGTAGGCTAGCCGAAGTGCCATGTAAACGTCACACAGTGAATCTCATTGCTGTTGTTTGAAGCTAAAGTCAGCGCTCTGTATGTGGGTGGGTGGGCACAGTAAGCAGAACATTTAAGTCTAAATGGTTGGATACATTCACAATATGCTTTGATCTTCTTCCAGGTCCTAATTCACACTCCAGTCCAAACAGTGGCTCAGTTTCCCATCTCTCATTGTCTTGTAACACGCTGTGGTATAGCTGCAGTTAGCAAGTATGTAAAAGCAGGTCCAGCCTGGTTCCTTATGTGACACTGCCACAACTGAATTTTTGCGCTTCTGAAAAAAACATACATAGCCTGAACACATTACATTAGTGCATGGTGCTTATTGTAAAGGTGAGTCTTCTGTTAATAGAACTTAAAGTGTATTCAGCAGCTTCTAATGTATTATGTGCGTTTAGTGTATTTGTGTTAGTGGAAGTATGCCTCATAACTGCAGCGACGGCTAAACAAATGTGAGTGCTTGAAGCCTGAAAACGAGGACCTTCTCTTCCTTCTCATGGTTCCACTTTTCTGTTCGGGATCAGATGAAAACATTTGTGAAATTAAGATGGGAGACCTTTTTTTTTTTTTCTTAAGCTACATTGTGTTTGATTTTTTTTCTTTTTTTTTCTTTTATTGACAGTAGGAACATTACTTAAATTCCATTGATTTCCATTGCTATGATAAATATGAGATTCACCTGTAGTAGTAAAGCATTGACCTCGGAACCTTTTTGTCTGTATTGATTTCTCACTATTAGGTTATAATAAAAAATCTGTCTAAAGTTTGAGGATTGTGACCTCTCTCGTGTGTGTGTGTGTGTGTGTGTGTGTGTGTGTGTGTGTGCGCGCGCGCACTTACTATAAGATGTGAAATCGACTGCAGAGTCCATCAGCCCGTGAACACACAAGCGAAGACTGGTGGAAGATCACTTTGTCATACAGAGAATGATAAATGCAACTTGTGACATGAAATATGTCATGACATGATAAACATTGACTTGGACATGTTTATATATCAATCTGTTTGGCCAAGTTTGTTTGACTCCAGTTCAAGTTTTTTTTTTATGCAAAAAACCTGTTTTGTTTTTAAAAAAAAAAACCCTCTTGCTCTTTTACAAGTTACATAGCTATAAATGGGGTGAACATAGTGCAACCCTGGATGAATCTTAGACACTCATTTTAATAGTGTAATACTAAGCCACTGTTACCTTGAATGATATAACAGTGGGCTATTTCTCAGTGTTCATCAGCATGACAGCCTGGGGGAAGAAACTGTCTTTGGCAGCTGGTTTTAGTAAACAGCGCTCTGTAGTGCCTCCTGAAGGAAGCAGTTGCAATGTGAAGGGTCTGCAGAGATGTTTTCTGGCCCTTTCCTAAAACTGGGCCTGTACAGGTCCTTGATGGGGGGGATATATCGGTGCTGATAAGCCTCCCTGCAGAGCTGATTGTCCGTTGGAGTCTGAACTTGTCCTGCTTCATGGCTGACCAGAACTAGTGAGTACTATTATTATTGTTGTTATGATTATGTATAATGTACAGTAACTTTAGTAATGACACTTGGCTGTGTATCTGAAGTTTTACACTGCCAACTTTCACACAGTACGTGGTCTGTCCCACCAAGGGGGAGAGAATTTTAGACCTACTGTTAGCATACAGACACACACGCATGTGCGAATGGTTAAAGGAGGTCTTAGTGAAACTACAGGGCTGTTTTGAGGTGACAGACTGGGAGACACTGTAAACTTGTCAGTGAGGACATCAGTGGGCTTACTGAGTGTATCACTGACTCCATCGTCCCTGCTCAGACTGTCCATTGTTACCTAAATAACAAGCTGTGCATAACTAAGGACATAAAACCCCTCCTCAATGACAAGAAAAGGGGCCTTCTAAGCGGGCAGTATTGAGAAGGTTCATCTTCAGAAGTTTTCTGATGACTCTGCGGTGGTTGGATGCATCAGTGAGGGTGTTGAGACAGAGTACTGAGTTATGATGGACTCTTTTGTCATCTTGATGCATGCTCAATCATCCACGTAGGTAAAACTCCAGAAGTTGATTCTGTTCATCTGGATGTAGCGTTTTCTTTTGTTGTGTGGTACGAGCAGAGTCACCTGCAGCTCAACAAGACAAAGACCAAAGAATTGTTTGTGGACTTTAGGGGGACCAGGAAACCTGTGACCCGTGTTTCAATCCAAGGGGTCGATGTGGACATTGTGGAGGACTATAAATACCTCAGAGTACACATAATAAACTAGACTAGGTTAAAAACACCACTGCACTCTACAGGAAGTAGAAAGTAGAAGTTTTTCCGGAATATCCTGTGTAAGCCTCAGAGAGAGAGGCTGTACAGGAAAATCTCAGCAGTTTGTGAAACCGCAGCTCCCATTCAAAGTCTCTTAATCTTAATCACCTTTCTTCCCTACGCTGATGCTAGGTATGAATTTCAGGAGGTCGTCTACATGCATTAATGTACAGACTTGGAGCCGGTGAGCGTATAGACACGTTATATTTGCGATTTGTTGCCTGTTAACGAGGTATCAAAAATAGGAGATTGACATTTTTCAGCCAATCAATTTTTAGAATGACAGGCGCAGGGAGCATTGGTCTGACCAATAGGAATCTTTCTTACTGCGACGGCCCGTCCCACGTCCGAAGGATTAACCTTTGTGATTTTCTGTTGGGCGCCATTTTGATTGAAGTATTGTGTGAGAGCTAAAGCAGGAAGCACTTTGTCAGCTATTTGCACACATTTAAACTTGAGCTGACTGATCGCTCATACTGATTGAGCCATTTAAGTAATTCGAAAATGGCGACGGGAGCAAATGCAACTCCATTAGGGAAGTTGCACCCTAGTATTGGCGCTAAACGAGCCTTTGATGCCGGGCCTGGTGCGGGGAACGGGCTGATGCCAACACCGGGGCCGCCCGGGTCCTTTCCTTCTCTACAAGGCTTCCAGCCTTCGATGCCAAGCGCATCTTTTCCCCAGTCTCATCAGTTCAACCCGGGGACAAGTTTTTCGAGTCAAGCTCAACAGCAATCTGCTGCGGGGAGCGGAATGGCTAAACCTGGTAAGTTAAGCGAGCTTAAGCTAACTCCTGTAGCCCTCAACGCGGCGTTAGCGAGCTGAAGCTAACGACGTTAACCAACATGGGTGACGAGCCCTGGCCTGAACGGCATGGATAAGGAGCCGCTAAAGTTGGTTAGTAAACGATAGTGGTTGGTGTTTTTTGGTCTAGGTTGTCCTCTTCTGACCTGACGGTTTAGTTAACGAGGGTTAATAGTGAAGTCTGGCGAAACGACAGCTCTCTGCCTGACGGTATGTTTTATTGGTAACAGTGCATTGCCTCGCTTTCATACGTAAACCTCATCAAGGCCATCCATAACTGTCTTTTTCTAAATCGAAGCACATGAGAGAGGAGTAGCTGATAGAGCCCAAACGAGGAGTAACGTGATCACCACGTTGCCGTTCTCCTGCATTTAATCTCGAAATACACCGGCTCCATCAATGCCGTGAAGGGCGGTAGAGCTGGCGTGCATCATGTAATGTTTCACCGGCATGCTGTGTTTCTCGCGGTAGATTTCGGCCAGAAGAAGTCAAGAAAGAAGAGTCGTTGGAGCAGCGAGACGCCTGATCAGAAGACCGTAATACCTGGCATGCCCACCGTTATCCCACCCGGACTGACCCGGGATCAGGAGAGAGCATATATAGGTAAATATTGAGTTGGTGATAATGAAACATGTAGTTTCTTGTATTATGTGTCTAGGAAATTACTTGTTTGGGGTTTAAGTTTCCCTGCCAGTAATAATTTTATCCTGTTTGCTGAACTGCCAACAGTTAGAGCTTCTAAAGACACCCATTACACATTCTGGTTCCAGTATGTTTACTCTAACACGTGGGACATTTTGCTCCAGCTGTTGTCTTTTCTGAAGAGCAATGATTACTTTATGATTGAAAATGTTAAGTTGACTTCTTTGTAATGGAGGCTTAGTGGTGGTGCTGCATAGTGTTATAGTTTGCATACCATTGGCACCCATTAGCAAGAGGAGTAGATTGTTAAACACCACTGCTTGCAGATATCTGTCCTCAGCTGCAGGTCACTGCTCACTGTCTTGCCTGATTCCCTACACATCATCAGTTTTGTTCCTGTGCATGGAGGAGTTAGTTTATAATGTCCTAACATTGCTAAAGAATGCTGTTTATTTTGGTTTGAAGTGTGAGCAATGCTGCTTCAATGGCAAACGAATCCAGTGAGTTTAAAGAAGACAAATTGTTGTTTTTGTGGGCACTGCGAATTCAGAAATGCTTAAGGACTGTGTGCGCGCTCTGATTTTGGCCTGTCCCAAAAACATTGATCATAAAAAGTCCTTTTGAACCACACATGCCTTCCAGCAGCAGTGTAACACCAACATACTGCCTTCACAGGCCCTCAGCGGGTGTTCTGAAGCAGACCAATCCTTTTTTTGTCAAAAACTAACATCATTATTGATGTTGTGCACTCATTGGTAATGGTTGATCTTGGTATGTAAACATTCATTTGTGCCCACCCTCCGTCGTCACACTTGTTATTTTTCCTCATTCAGTAAAGCCCCAAAAACATTGTGAGGGAAGATTTAAAGATGAAGCACAAGTCACTGGCCCTTTATTATTCTTCTCAATAACCCAGACTAATAGTTTCAGTGCCAGTGAACGTGTGTTTGGTGTATTTCATCACAGCTTTCATAATGTGCATTAGATGACTGACTGATTTCATTGCCTTTGGAATGATCCCCTCAGTGTTAGATCTGTGGAGTGACTGCGACTGACTTTATAAAACCAAATAGCCAGCGTATCTTCAAATGTTTAAGATTTAAGCACTTTTCATGGAATTAATTAAAGAGTCTTTTATGCGGTAGGTATTATTAGGAGTCGTGGAGTTAACGGACACATTGACGTTCAGAAGACGTTAGACTTTTTCATGCTAAAGTAAACGACCTCTAGGACTTGCTGGTAATGTGTGCTTCTGATGATGTAATACTTAGAGTCTTGCCAGATGTTTATTTGATCTTCCTTTTGTATTTAACAGACTCACCGTTTGTCTTTACCTCAGTAATGAATGAGATAGTGCTCCAATGTGCAGAGCATTGTCTCTCTGTTGTTATTGTGGTAATCAAATTTCTCTCCATCCTTGTTTTTCTTTCCTAACCTGAATTCTTCCAGTCCAACTGCAGATTGAAGACCTGACTCGTAAACT